GGAAGGAATTTGGAAGTGTAAAAACAAGCTGAGAAGAGGTTCAGAGATCAGGGTGCTCACTGGCAGCAGGGGCTGGGGTTAGGGCTGAGCAGGAGCAAAGCCGGAGCACATCAACCTCACCTCGTGTTTTCTCGGGGGCTTTACGGCCCTGGCAATAGAGAGATGTTCACTGATGAGTCCCAGGCCGAGCCGTGAGCACAATCTGTTGTTTTGGAGTTGGGGTTTTTTTGACACGTTTAGCAGCCACACTCTAATAAAGAGTCCTGGAGTTTGTTGCTGTTCCTCTTTCATCCTCATATCCAACTTCCAGCCCTTTTCTTCTCTCTGTCCAGTGTGTCTTTTGTGTTCCTTTCTTGTCCTGTGTGCTCCCCATCCCATTCCCTACGGAGGGGGAGGGTGTGGAGACTGGGGGCTCCGACGTGGTTTGGGGCACCCCAAGGTCCCTGGGAGAGGAGCAGGGGAGTGGAGCATGGGGGGGGGGCTCATGCTGGGTGCCAGAACATTGAGAGGGAGGGGTGGGTGTAGAATGCATGAAAAACAGAACCATAAAAAATACATAAATATAGTCTAAAAGGAATGTTTAAATGCTTTTTATTTGGGTAGAGGCGGGGTTTTCATAGCTAATATAAAAATAAAATATAAAGACTAGAAATACATTTGTATACATGTAAAATATAAAGAAATATAAGTAGCAAATCTATGGAATATCTAGTATATAATCTAAGTAATGCATATATAAGAATATGTATAAATATAAAATAGAAATACGAAAATATTTTAGTATAGTTTAAAATAAATATTTGTTTTTCTTTGGTAAGAGGCAGGGTTTTTTAGAAATAATATAAACATAAAAAATATACAAATATACAATAAATATATACAGACACAAAATTATAAATATATATGCATATCTAAATATATGTAAGTCTATATAAAATATAAATCTAGGTGTATATATGCAGTATTTAATAGAAAAAATATTGTATATATTATTATATGAGAAGCTATAAAATACATAGTATAGATATATAAATATCAATTACAACTATAAATATGAAAACTATAAATAAATATATTTAAATATAGTTTAAAATAAAGGGGGTTTTTGTTTCTATTGGCTTAGATGCAGGGCTTTTGAATAAACAATATTAAAAAATAGAAACATACAATATATAATATATAAAAATATAGATATACATAAAATAGAAATAAATTTTAGTAATACAAAAATATGTATATAATAATATTTTATATAGTATATTAGCAATTAAATATATAAAATATGTATAGATTATGAATATGAACATAAATGAAATATTTTAAAAATATGTAATTAGGGTTTTTTAAGGTGGTTTTTTTTTTTGTTTTCCGTTGTTTAGAGGCAGGAGTTTTTTTAGTTTTGGTCGGGTTTTTTGGGGGGTATTCGTTTAGGAGGATTTTTTTGAATTATTGGGACTCCTTTTTGCCATCCCTTCTCCGTCTGTGCTGGGCTGAGTTCGGCGGCAGTGCCGCCCCCTTGTGGGCAGAGCGCGATACTGCAGCGTGCCCCTGCAGAGGGCGGAAGGGACCCTGCCATGTGGGACTGCCACCACCCGGAAGAGAGGTGTCCCCGCTCCTGCCTTGACCCGTCAAGCGGCGCTCGATTGCTCCTGCCTTGATCCATCTCTCTGTGCTCGATTGCTCCTACACTCGCTGCACACTCGTTGCACGCTCGCTGCAGACTCGTAGGGCACTTCTTGCACACTCATTTGCACAATTATCGCATATTTGCACACTCGTTTACACACTTATCAGAACACCCATTTGCACACTTGCACACTCATTTGAACACTCATTTTTACATTTATTGCACCCCCTTGCACACTTCTTGCATGAACAATCGTGCACCGAGTGATGAAGTGCGTAAGGAGTGTGCGAATGTGCACGAAGTGTGAAAATGACTGTGCAAGAAGTATGTGAGAATTATTCACGAAGTGTGCAATGAGTGTGCAAGTGAGTGTGCTGGTGAGCAGTGAGTGTGTAAATGATTGTGCAAGGAGTGTGCAGTGTATGTGCCACAAGTGTGCAAGGAGTGTGCAAGGAGTGCACCAGAAGTAAGGAGTGTGCAAGAAGTGTGTAAGGAGTGTGTACGGAATGTGAAAGAAGTGTGTAAGGGGCGTGCAAGGAATGTGCAATGAGCATAATCAATTGCTCGGTGCTCGACTGCTCATGCCTGACGATCGATTGCTCAAGGAGTGTGCTCAAGGAGTGTGCAAGAAGTGCATAAGATGTGTGTAACAAGTGTGCAAGGAGTGTGTAAGGGGTGTTCATGGCGTGTGCAGGGAGTGTATAAGGAGTGTGTGAGGACTGTACAAAGAAGTGTGTAAAGAGTGTAAGGAGTGTGCAATGCATGTGAATAGGTGTGCAATGAGTATGCAGGGAGTGTGTAAAGAGTGCAAGGAGAGTGGAAGAAGTGTGTAAGGAGCATGCAATCAGTATGCAAGGGCTGTGCAATGACTGTGCAAGGAGGATGCAAGGAGTGTGCAAGGAGTGTACAAGGAGTGTGTGAGGAGAGTACAATGCGTGTGATCAACTGCTCGGCGCTTGACTGCTCAAGGAGTGTGCAAGGAACGTGCAAGAAGTGCGTAAGATGTATGCAACAAGTGTGCAAGGAGTATGTCCGGTGTGTGCAAGAAGTGTGTAAGGGATCTTCAAGGAGTGTGCAGGGAGTTTATAAGGAGTGCCAGCAGCGTACAAAAAGTGAGCAAGAAGTGTGTAAAGAGTGTGCAAGGAGAGTGGAATTTTT